TGCCACTTTGTTGCATCCGAGACCTTCCAGCAGAGAAAACAAAAACCAACGCAGCGTCGCAGAGCAACCATGAATGGAGAGAAGACGGACAGTGGCATACCATACCTTCCAGAAGGAATCATCACAAACATTCTTAAGCGGCTTCCAGTGAAATCTCTTATCCGATTCCGAAGTGTATGCGATCTTTGGAAGAACATCATCAACTCCCCTTCCTTCATCACCGACCACCTCAACTATTCCAACCATCAAAGCTCTTCTCTGATTGCTGCCCGCGATGGTACGTTGATTCAATACTCGCTCGACCGGGACAAGGGACTCCGCGAGGTTCAGGTCGGACTTCCGATCGATTCCGACAGACCGCACAGGATTGTCGGATCCTGCAACGGCTTGGTCTGTCTTCAATCCATCGGTCGGCTTGATACTCTTTCAATCTGGAATCCTGCGATTCGTGAGGTTATGCGGGTTCCTGCAACTAGAACAGGTATTATACTTTGTCTTTTGGGATTCGGATACAGTCCATTTGTTAATGATTACAAGATTGTGGTAACCTATGAGACTTGGGGTACTGCGGTTAGTGGAGTTGAAGTTTATTCATTAGCTACAAATTCATGGAAGAACATAGAATCCAGCTGTTTAGATGTTATATGCGGTTTCTCTGTAAGCCTCAACGTTAATGGATCAATTTTTTGGTTACCAAGGAAGACAGGTTTGGGTCGATCTCGGGTCATATTTTCTTTTGATTTAGCATTGGAAGAGATTAAATTGATAGCAACACCTCCTTTATCGAGGGACGAAGAACCTAAACTGATTGTGTATGAGAACAGGCCTGCCCTACTTTATTCCCGTATTGCTCGAAACTCAGGCAATTCTACTATTGATTTGTGGGTGATTGAGGAAGGCATTGGTGCCTTTTGGAGTAAGAAGTTTACCTTTGGCCCTTATCCATATTCTATACACCCATGCACAATTTGTAGGAATCAAATTGTCTGCACTGGGGTGATGTACTGTAGTAAGGTTCAACACAAAGAAGAGGGTGTGGGTGATTCCGGCATTAAAGTTGATAGATGTACTTTTTTTATCAATCTTGCTTCTAAAGATATTAAGGTCCTTGATGAAAGCAGATATGGCTATAGTGGTCGTCATTCTTTTGAATATGTCGAAAGCCTTTTGTCCCCGAGTAATATCCAGCTTTAATTCTAATGCCTCATATGGACGTACTAGAAATCAGTTGAGATGTTTATATTTTTGTGTTCTGTTTATTCGTTGTTCAAAAGTTTATTCACTAAACAAATGCGTATGTATAGAGTATTTTTAAGTGTTTGAGGTGTGTTCGATCGTTTTATTCTTGATCAACAATCTGGTTGTACTTTATATAGTGGGCAGATGCTGAAACCTTTTTAGCTTCTATGGGTTCAATTGCCTATGCGTTAGTTATTTTCGGGGACTAATTGCATTACCTATTTTTTGTTGATTAATTGAATAGTTATGGCAGTTGTATTGAATTATTGAAGAAAAGTGCATGTTCTGTAATTTTTTTTTGTTTGAAACATTTTAACTGACATTAGACTATTTGTGGAATTCGTGAATACATTTACAATATGTACACTTCTGAGTGGGATTAATGTATTGGAATAGATCGGGTCAGATTTAGACGTAAATTGTAGGAATTAATCCAGTATTGGAATAGATCGGGTCAGATTTAGACGTAAATTGTAGGAATGTAAACATTTTATATCGATTCAATATCAGCCACATAAATTATTAGTGGGGTGTCATAGTATAGAAATTTTAAAGCGATATAGACCAATCGTATGAATTGTAGATCGACATGCTATGTTTACTTATTAGTGGGTTATCAATATATTGACCATTATATATTTTTTTCAATGTATTGTTGTGGAAATGATTACTTATTTTCAGTATGATTAATTTCTAGTTCAGTTAAGTTCAAATTTCGTATGGTTATAAAGTACAATCATATTCCCCTATGCATCTAGCTAGTAAGGACTGAATTCTTTTTAAAGTTTAGTTACTTACTTACTAATGGATAGATTTATTTAAATCGTCTTTTTTATGGATAGATGTAATAGAATTAAATGAATGCATTTTTATTTTATTTTGCAACTGATTACTTTATTTATGCAACTGACTAAAAAAATTGGTGATTTCCATTTAAAGTAATAAGTTTGTGGGTAAATTATTTTTTCCTTCTATGATCTGCACAAATCTCAGTTGAATAATTTTTACTTCATATTTCCCATGCAAGTCAATTTTAGTCACGTTTTATGGGGTACTAATCACTGTCATTTTTCTTTTTAATGATATTTGTATCTGAATTCATCATTCATGAATATAATGTAATACTTTTTTTATATTCTAAAGTTAGAATATTTCATTTTAAAATTTATTTTGCCATGTCTATAACTAATTATGTATGTAAATGTTTCTAATAGTTTTCTAATAATTTTTTAATGAAATTTTTTGAGCATGTTCCTCATCAAATCTAGTTTATCCAAAGAAAGAAAATATCAATATACAAACACATGTAAGTCAATTACACACGTATGTCAATTACCTAATAATAAAGATGTGGCATTAATTGCAATGATTGATATGTAGTGTTAAATATAGAAATATTCATAAAATGACCAAAGGAACCTATAAGTGAATACACGTTCCATTGAAAAAAAATTGATGATATAATGGCTCTCATTTATTCTTTTTCCCTCTCCTAAGATTAAGTTCTCACATGAATATATGTATATATATATATAAGAGGAACTTTTTTAAAAGCGTACAGAGCGCCACATAATCTTGACATGTCATCCGTCATATATAACAATTACGTACTATTTTAATTTTGTTAATACTCCTTACCTTTTATTTATTCTGTTAGATTCTATTTTGATTGCATATTGATATGGAGACAAAAGACTGTAGGATAAAAATCAACCTTATTTAGTAACTTTTTCAAAAAATCTTTTATTTATTCTGTTAGATTCTATTTTTTATTGCATATTGATATGGAAACAAAAGATTATAGGATAAAAATGAACCTTATTTGGATAACTTTTTCGATCTTAGCTAAATTATGTACTGCTCGTGCGTCGTATGGGCTTGGAATCTAGTATATATATTAAATATAAGTATATTACGTATACAGTATTACACTATTACGCATTAATAAGGAGTACGATAACTAAAAGCTTCCGCGATTGGAATTGTTCTCATGCGTGTACTTGGAGAAAATGATCAAAATAGTGCACGAAGTTGTTTCAAATAGAGTAATAAGTAGTAGAGAAATCATCTCATCAGGCCGGCCTGACGGGCTGCCCCGTCCGGCCGAGCCCGTTTGGGCACCTTCCCGGTGGAATTTTTTGATGAAATTTTTTGATCATGTTCCTCATCAAGTCTAGTTTGTCCATACCAAATTTCAGCTCGAAGTTCGATCGGAAAGGTCGTCAAATGATTTTTGCAAGTTAACTGGTCCGGACAATACATATTCCGGACCAGTTAACTTGCAAAAATCATTTGACGACCTTCCCGATCGAATTTTGAGCTGAAATTTGGTATGGAGAAACTAGACTTGATGAGGAACATGCTCAAAAAATTTCATCAAAAAATTCCACCGGGAAAGTGCCCAAACGGGCTCGGCCGGACGGGGCAGCCCGTCAGGCCGGCCTGATGAGAAGAGCTCTCATAAGTAGTACTTCATCTTACATTTGAAACTACAAAGTACATGCACTTTCACATTTTAAGTCGATTAAGTACAATTTCTCTGTTAGACCACTAAAATAGTTGACCTGATCAAGCTACCAGTTTGTAATATACAGTTGCAGTCCAAGTAATCAAATAATTAATCTATAAACTCTAATTTCCCCCAATCCAATCGTTCTCGCCTTCACTCTTCATCTTATATTCCTCACATTTGCTCTCCCTTTTCTCCGCTCTTCACCTTATATTTCTCTCGTCTGCTCTCGAAGGGCGGAGCCAGAGCACTAGACCAGACTGACAAACTGTGTTTTGTAATTTTAATACTCCCTCAGTCCCAAATTGTAAGATACATTTACTATTCACTTGGTCAACATAAATCACTTCTAAACTTTTATTTTATATATCAAAAGTTTATGAAGTTTGAATTATTTTTTGCAGGTTTTGTAGCGGATTTAATGTAGTTTTTGAATATGTAAATTTTATTTTCTAGAACTAATTTGGGTGTTGACAGGGATCAATTTGCTTTATCGTCAGTCAAACATCGTAAACCGAAATGTATCTTACAAATTGGGACGGAGGGAGTAGCTCCAAACTATTTGAATATAATTACAATTTAGCTTTTTGCACATAATCTGTGTTTTGTACTTTTAATAGTTACAACCTCTAATATAATTTATTTGTTTTTCCAATATATATTTTTTAATCTCTTACTTTATATATCAAACTTTTATCAAATGTGAGTGTTTTTTGCAAATCCATAAAACTTTTAACGTGGTTTCTCGATATGTATTTCTTTTTACTTAAAAATCTAATTATGGACATGGACCAAGTTACTTTAATAATGCTTAGTCAGACATCGTAAATCGTGTGACAACCTCTCTACGAGGCAGAGGGAGTATATTGTTACATCTGTCATAATTTATTATTTATGATATGATAATATTTGTGTCTCACGAATATTTTGTTTTTTATAATTGATATTACACTTTTTTAATGTGATCATTGTTTATAAGATGCTTGAAATAATCCATGTGAGTTCACCCTATTGACTGAAATTCCTGAATACGTTAGTGCTTGTGGGGTCTGAGTTGACTCTTGATCGAGTAATTTATTGGATTAATTTCTCCATCCAGGTTTGACAACATAGCCTATTTCGAGAATTACAAAAACTATTTATGACAATTTCTTTCTTCGTTTGGGCTCTCTAATACCCGTTTGTATTTCTTACAAAAACTATTTATGACAATTTCTTATTTCTTATTTGGGCTCTCTAATACCCGTTTAGGGTTTTCACATTTTTTTTAGTATATGCGGCATATCACTTGGTCGCATCCCAGAAGAGAAAACGAAACCAAAGCAGAGCAACTATGAAGCGGGAGAAGCTGGACAGTGGCATCCCATACCTTCCAGAAGAAATCATCAAAAGCATTCTTAAGGGGCTTCCAGTGAAATCTCTGATCCGATTCCGAAGTGTATGCGATCTTTGGAAGAACATCATCAATGCCCCTTCCTTCATCACCGACCACTTCAACTATTCCAGCCATCAAAGCTCTTCTCTGATTGCTACGCACGATGGTGCCTTCATTAAATTCTCGCTCGACCTGGACAAGGGACTCCGCGAGGTTCAGGTCGGACCTCCGATCGATTCCGACAGACCCCACAGGATTGTCGGCTCCTGCAACGGCTTGGTCTGTCTTCAAACCGGCCGGCCTGATACTCCTACTCTTTCAATCTGGAATCCTGCGATTCGTGAGGTTATGCAGGTTCCTAGAAGTAGAACACTTGATGCTACAAAAGTTCATTATTTGGGATTCGGATTCAGTCCATTAGTTAATGATTACAAGATTATTGTGATGACCTTTGCGACTTGGGGTGATATGGTTAAGAATGTGGTTAGTAGAATTAAAGTTTATTCATTGGCTACAAATTCATGGAAGGACATAGAATTCAGCTGTTTAGATGGTATACGCCTTTCCTCTCCAAGCCTGAACGTTAATGGATTGATATTTTGTTTAGCAAGCAAGACAGGTTTGGATGGATCTCATGTCATAGTTTCTTTTGATTTAGCATCGGAAGAGATTAAATTGATACCAACACCTTTATCCGGGAAGGAAGAAGCTAAGCTGATTGTGTATGAGAACAGGGCTGCCCTACTCTATTCCTCTTATGGTCCAAACTCAAGCAATATTGATGTTGATTTGTGGGTGATTGAAGAAGGCATTGGCTCCGTTTGGAGTAAGAAGTGGACCTTTTGTCCATACTCCTTTATACGCCCATGTACCATTTGTACGAATCTAATTGTCTGCACTGGAGTGTTTTGCTTTAAGAAGTTTCAACTTGAAGAAGAGGAGAAGGATTACTCGGACATTGAAGTTGATACTTTTCTGATCAATCTTGCTTCGAATGAATTTAAGGTCGTTGATGAAAGCACATATGGCTATAGTGGTAATTCTTTTGAATATGTTGAAAGTCTTGTGTCCCCGAGCAATATCCAGGTTGGGAACTCTTGATGATAATGTGTTATATAGACTAGAAGGCAGTTGAGATGTTTATATTTTTGTGTTCCTTTTGTTCATTGTTTATAAGTTTATTCACTCAACAAATGCCTATGAACAGAGCAATTTTGAGGTGTTTGAGTTTTGTTCGTTTATTGTTCACTAACAATCTAGTTTTACTTTATGAGCTCGTTTGGTAACCCATTTTCAACTTATTAGCAAATTTTTCATCAAACACGTAAAGTAAGGTTGTAATTACTTTTCTGGCTGTATTGACTGAAGTTACCATAGAGCTAAATATCATTTTAGCAAATTTTTTCATATAATTTGTTATTTTATTTATGAATAAAAATTTTTTTTTTTCATAAATCAGCAGAATCAGCCAATACAGCCTCTTCAGCCAAAACTTCATAAAGCAAATACAGCCTCTTCATCCATAACTTCATAAATTTCAATAGAATTAATTAATTCAGCCAATTTTAGTGTTACCAAACGGACTCTATATGGTGGGAAGATGCTGAAATATTTTTAGCTTCTATGGGTTCAATTGCCTAAAGGTTGATCTCTGTGTTAGTTATTTTCGGAGAATAATTGCGTTAGGTGTTTTTGTTGACCAATTGAATAATTGTGGCAGTTGTATTGATGGATTGTTGTAGGTATATTAGTAGAAAAGTGTTTTGTAAAATAGTTCTTACAAGAATATTACTAAAATAAAACTTATTTACATAAATATAACTATTCATTACTATAAGGTGGTGGTGTAGTAACTTAAGTTCAAAACTTGAACATGAATTACTATGATTTCATTACTACTCTAGTAACTAATCATATTTTTGTAAACTATCTTTATTTTGGTCATATCCATGTAATTATTTCTTAAACATTTTATCCGATATTAGACGATTTGTGGATATCGTGAATACATTTACAAAATTACAATCACTTTATTAATAAGTGTGCCAAACCAAATTAGGATACATAAAAGAAAAAATTCCATAAATATTACTCTTTTAAATATTTGCAATGGAGTCAAAGATTCATTATTTTTTGGCTTGAGAATATGATGGAATAAAGCAAAATGGCTCACCAAACTGTCTGCTCTTCTTTGTTATGAAGCAGCAGTCACGCCAGTCAGTCCATGCAATTTTGGACGCGATTTTTATTATGGGTCATCCGGAAACAGTCTCTTTGTGCTTTAGTACAGGGGTACGACTGCGTACATCCGACCCCTCTTACCCCACCGTAGGTGGGAGTGTTTGCAATTGCTTCTGCTTAAAAAAAAGCAATTTTGGAGATGTAAGGAAAAAGTGATTAGTAGTAAAAGTTGATAGTGTTTGAAAACAAAGTGATTTTGAAAAGTAAAAGTTGGTAGTGTTTGGTAAAATAAGTGCTTTTTGTGTAATAGAAAAGGGAAACGCACTTTTCACACGCAAGCCGAGAAAAAGTAAAAATTGGTAGTGTTTGGTAAATAAGTGTTTTTTTAAAGTCAAAAGCTGAGAAGAGCTTTTTTAAGCAGTTGCAAACACTACCTAAATATGATGGACAAACATATTACTTAGTAACTTTTAGTGAATACTATTGTGTTCGAAATTTACGTCATAGTAACTGCATGTAACTTTATACGCAATTATAGTGATTAATAGTTACTAACTCACATTTTTGTCCATGCCATTTTTATTAGTAATATTAAAGAAAAGTCCCTACATAAAATGAGATGGAATTAGTAAAATTTAAGGTAATTCTATATGCAGCCCTTCTTTTACTAACTATAGCCTCACGTTTCATTAACGATAAAATTATTTTTTATAATTCCAATCCTGCTCTTATTTACTAAATATAGTCTCGATACAGAGTGACTTGATTTTGGAACTCCTGTGCTCCATAGCCGCCGTAGCTTCAGTCTAAATTTCCAGAACGAGGAAGATAGCTGAAGGGAAATCTCCTTTCCCACTTCATCCTCGAGAAAGTATAACCAAATAATTCCTTTGCAAGAATGATCTTCTTTAATTGGTCTGAAAAAAATACATAGTATCTTCTATCACAATTTGAGTTTGACTACATGATCTTCTTTCAAATTAAAATTACTTCAAGGGTGTAAGTAGTTTAGCCGGTGGGAGAATTACATGTATAAATGAACTGCCGGCTAATCATTATAAGCGTTTGATTAGTCTAGTTTTCCATGGTATGTGTGAGGTAGTAAACCAAATAGGACTAGGCCAAAACCGAGAGTGATGAAAACGAGAAGAAACCCCAATATGTTGTTAAGAACAAGTCAATTTGACCCCAAAACCGGCAGCCAAGTGAAGGTATCATACTATAGAAGTAAAAGTTGAAGACTTCAAACTGTTCGCACCTTGAATCAGGCCAAGCTCAGTCCTTATCTTCTTCCATAAATCATCTTTAAGGTGGAGAATATGAAATAATTACATAAATATGACTAAAGTAAAGATGATTTACCAAAATATGATTAGTTACTAGACTAGTAATGAAATCATAGTAATTCATGTTCAAGTTTTGAAATTAAGTTACTATAATACTACGTTGTAGTAATGAATAGTCATATTTATGTAAATAGGTTTATTTTAGTAATATTCTTGTAAAAAATCCGGAGAATATACCCACACTTCTTGCGGCAGTTCAAAGCGATGGTGTGCAGCAAGAGAGTTGCGGCAGTAGAGTTTGCCGCAAGGTGTAGCAGCGAACTCCAAATAAGGGTAATTGTCTTGCTATCATAATTAAAAGGGTAATTTGGATATTTGTATTTATTTAATTTATTAATATTTAATTCTTCGAAATAAGTAAAAGATATATATTGCTATAGGCCCAAAACTAGATAGCATTGGGCCACATGTATAGGTTCGACACTGGATGGTGGATTATGATGAAAGAGGATATGAAAGAAGAGGATGAATGAGGGCAAATAGGCGTGCAGCGTGCTTACCTGACAAAAGTAAGGAAGGAACACAATTATTAAATTTGGCGAGGGGTAAACTAAGAATATAAACTCCTACTTTGGGAATTTAAAAGTTACGGTCTTAATTTTGCATTCCATTAAATTTCACTTATACCCAAGACAATTTCTCTTAATTAATTGCCAATCTCCTGTAGAGTGGTTTTGTAGTTCTTGATTGTTGTATCCTTGATCAGTTTAGAGTTATCAACCTTACACAGATTTGTATATCATTGTGACAAGAGGGACAATTTGAACTAGGATTCTAGGAACGTAACAACATATATCATTGTTATAAGATGAATACTAAGTTTGATTATTAAAATGTTATAAAAAATTTGCAATTCTCGTCTGATAACTTTCGGCCATTTTCATTATTAGTCCCACATTTTAGTCACTTGCACGTTTGGTCCTGTAATTAATAGACTAGTTTCATGACGCGCTTTGCACGAGAGGTTCATGCCCAACGCCGGGCGCAAAAACTTTCGATTGGCGGTGCGGCAGTGTAAACACACACAAACACACATATATTAAAATTTCGTGGTAAATATACCTAGATTTTTTTTGGGAGGGACGGCGACCCCCATTAGCCACTACCTATGTTCGCCACTATTAATGTCCGATATGATTTTTTGGGTAAATAGTATCAAATCATCATTGTTAATTTTTATAGTACAAATGAATTTTGTGAAACAAATTAGAGAACTAAATAACAATCCTGTCCAACTAAATATGTAATTGATATGCCTATGCTTTATATGGCAATATAGAGGTTACATAAACCAAGTTGAGGTATTCCATTCATAAAGAATTAGTTGAGCTGCAATTGGACTCCTATTTATCACAATCTTTGTATTTCATCCACGTGAGCTGCAAAAGTTAAATATTACAATCCATAACAGATAGTTGTATACCTGTATTAATGTGTATGTTTTAAACCCTCCCACAAATGGTTCACCTCCTATGAAATGTGGCATTTAAGTGAATAAACATATTCAGTCTCTAAGCCTTCTTCACCAATTTCTGAGAAGTCAATCTTAACCAATGAAAATGAAATGATCACATAGGGTTAGCAAGATTCCTTTGGCCAACACAAAATTTCAATTTTTCATAAATAGATGCACAATGTAGATAAAGAACTTCACATTTAACCTCAATAAGATATTGACACATAACCGATGACTAAGAGCATAATATCATTTATATTATGCCACTTTTAAGTGCAAAATAGCCACTAAAAACAGGGCAATAAATTTCAATTGTAAATAGGAATTAGACACAATGATACATTTCTCCTAAAGTGTACAACAAAGATATAGATCAGGGAGGAATGGTGACATGATTAATAATACTCATACCCTTGAAATTACAATTGAGTTACGCTACTAGGCAAGAAAGTAAAACCTGTGTATTCTATTTTATCCTTGTTAATAAGTCGAATAGAATAAATTGATAAGGTTGAAGATATGCGGACTCATAGGCCATGTTTGGCACACAAAAGCCTCTGCCTTCTAGCTTCTCTTTTCTTTAAAAAGACCTTAAAAGACTCTAGTTGTATGTTTGACATGACATTTTTTAAGAGCTTTTCAAAAATTAAAAGATCTTTTTTGAGATGCTACCGGGTGTAGCATCTGAGAAAAGCTCGTGACTTTTAGTATTAATTGGTCCTAACAGCTTGTATACCAAACCGAACTAAATCAAACAGTCAGTTTTTTGCCAAACAGCTATCACCTTTTCTTTTTAAGATCTTTTCAGTCACTAAAAGCTAACTGTTACTAAAAAGCTCACAAAAGTATCTTTTCAGCTAGTTGTGCCAAACATACCCATAAACAAAATCTTTTGAATCCATAATAGTGATAGGTTGAGTTGAAGAGTAAAGATAGAAAGAGTTTGGAGAATGAATATAAAATTAGGGGCGAAGAAAATGCGGTTTAGATGTATGGATTTAGAGAGAGAGAAATGAAGCACCGAACAAATTAGGCCTGACAGATGAAACGAGTATTAAGATGAGTTGAGATATGCTTGGGACAACAACGAAAATGGAAGAAGCAGAAGCAGGCGGCCAGAAGATGGGGAAAAGAAGGAAAGTGATGAACAATATATATGTAGTGGGCGTTTCTGATTCGAATAAAACCATGCCTTAGCGGTTGTCCCTAACCAAGCTGTTATAATGGGTGATGTTGTGCTAACGGAAAATACAGAACCGTTGTCTAAGTTTGGGGACGGATTCAATTGAATGAGAGAGAGTACAATGTTTTAATCTCAAAGAACACGTTCATGAAGCTTGAGGTTACCAACAACAACTTTTTTTACCCAAAGTGACCTTACCTTCATTTGTCCTTATTAGTTTGTAGATATTTACAAAAAGTACACTTTCAAGCAATAATATACCAGAAAAGATGTCGTCGGCGTCGGATTTTCGGCTGGAAAGTCCTTAAATTGCACAGGTTTAATAGTTACAGGACCAAATTTGTAAGTAATTAAAATTATATGACCAATAATGATAACGGCTTAAGAGTTACATATATGCATGACTAAAATTGCAAATCTCCCATAATAATGGAAATATAAATATATATTAGAGAAAAATATGACATACTTCGTACTTGGACCATTTGTAGTGGTTATGAGGCTAAAAAGTTAAAAATGGACTACGTTCATATGAAAATTAACAATGTTAGACTCCTATTCCTTGCATCCCAACATTGTCAATAAAATATACTCAGCATATTTTTTCACATATCAATTTACTAAAACACTAATTAAATTATTATAAGTAATATTTTCAATTTAATTTTTTCCCTAAATAATTATGAAATAAAAAATACATATTTCGATGTAAAAATAAATGAATTTCATTAATTTTTTTTACATTTTTCAGTTAACAAAAAAATGAACTTAGTCCAAGTAAAGTTTTATTATGGAATATTCGGTTGTTTCTAAAGGCTCCATGAATTAAAAATTTGTGTTTTGTGTTTTTTCAGGCTCAAGAAAACTCCAATAGTTAAAACTTAAGATTTTTTTCATTTTATATATTACATACGAAGTATATCTTTTGAAAAAATTGGAGAACAAATAAAAAAGTTATAAGAGTTTTAGGGAGTGTTTGCAACTGCTAAAAAAACACTTCTCAGCTTTTGGTTTAAAAAGCACTTATTTACCAAACACTACCAATTTTTACTTTTTTCTCGGCTTGCGTGTGAAAAGTGTTTTTCCCTTTTCTATTACATAAAAAGCACTTATTTTACCAAACACTACCAACTTTTACTTTTCAAAATCACTTTTTTCTCAAACACTATCAACTTTTATTACTAATCACTTTTTCCTTACATCTCCAAAAATGTTTTTTTTAAACAGAAGCAGTTGCAAACACTCCATTAAAAATTTTGGGATTATAATGATGCAGGGATGACATCATCCTCACATCCATAAAATGCATTCTCGGCCATTCCATTCCCTATTTCTTTTCTTTTTCTTTTTTCCACTCCTACCAAATCACCCTCTATTTCTAACACCCTCCATCCCTTTTCCATTTTTAATACCCCATTTAGCCTACCACTACATGAAATTAGGAGTCAAAAAGTTCCATCTTTAACATTTTGGACTCCTAATACTACACCACTCCAAATGGCCTTACCTAGCTACTTATACTACCCAGTCCCATTTTTGCTAGCCATTTTATGACATATACCCAGTACTTGGTCACTTTTTCCACTATATGCGTCGAGAACTTATATACACCCGTACATGCACCACGATATGGATTATTGTCGCTAGATATATTCTAAATTCAAGCAGGCTAAAAAAAGGTAACAATCGAGAAAATCAATTCAAATCAAAAGGTGTATCGTATAGATCCATATATCATCGATCAAAAGCAAAAAAAAGAAATTACAATGAACGTACGAACTGATGAAATGACTACTACTTGGCTAAGCTAGCTGCCGCAAAAATCATACGTATGAACTGTTGTGCACAAATCATTCGATCACTAAGACAGTATAAGACGACTTGCTTCATCACTTCATGCATTATACTCCAGGCCAGTCAATTAATATAAGTAGTAGAAAATGTCTCCCTTGAGAAGCCAGCCTTTTGTGTCGTCCAGTTGATACCATAGCAAAACCACATCTTTTGGCCGTTTATACACCGACACCTCCGCAGAATTTAACCCCGCCAACTGTAAATCCAGGTATAGCAAATTTATCTTAAAATTCACCGCTGGATCATTCTTTCGGATGTCCTCCCTTGTAGAAATCAACCCATACTGCATGTACGTAAATTAGTACGTTAGTTGTGCATGCATGATGCATGTCAATATATATACTATACACATACATACATACATACATCATTTATTCGTATCCATGCATCAGTATTTTATACTACGTACATAGAAAGTATATTTATAGTACGTACGTATGTACCTCTCGGTTCAAAATGAGTGGCTTCGATTTTACATCCACAGGAGAGATATAGACTTCCCCTTTCTTTACCGATATTTCAACTGCATTAAATAATGATGATGATAGATGATATGGTAATGTTAGCTTAGCTTGCTGCTAATTAATCAATTAGAAATTGGCGGGCGCAAATGAAATAAGTATGCTTCAAAATAAATTATACATACCTGACCTGGAAACGGCCCTCATTAGTCCTAAAGATTTTTTAAAAGTAAGTGCATCTAGTGTAGCCAAGGGGGGAAGTGGAACCACTGCTGGATCCTTTGATATGTCAGCAGTTTTAAGCATTTTCTCCGGAACAATCCCATATATTTTCATTGATATGTAGTCCTCATTATATGCTCCTGATATATCCACATAATTTGATGCATGCTATATTAGCAACCAATGTTTAGGTACGTACGTTTGTTAATCATATACTCCGTATTAGAAATTTCAAAATGTTTTGGTCATGCATGTATAAAAATTTCCCACGTATAATTCCAAATATTTCCACAACGTTTTGATTGAGATGAAAAACAATCCCTAACTAAATTTTATTAGGAAGCAAAGTAGCCTGGTCTAAATGTCTCAGCAGCTGTATATACAAAAATACATCACAAACACCACAAAACAATATTCCTCCAGTTTTATTTGCCATTATTATTTATCAGCTCTGGATATATAGTAGTTGCAAATTGTTTTTCCTATTGTTGTATTAAATTGACTATTAGCTTTAAAAAGTTATTACATACTACGTACAAAACATACGAAGTATATGTTTAGACAATTTTCACTGTATGTACGACAAATTTAAAGACACTTTTCGTAATATAATTTGTTGAAACTATACTCTAATAAAATAAAATAAAAAATAATTCCAAATACAATAAAATACTACTCCGTATCATGCAAGCATACATACAAGTCTATATATATATATATATATATATATATATATATATATATATATATATATATATATATATATATATATATATATATATATGCTCCTAATTAACAGAATATAATGCACGTATATATCATCATCCTCTGTACCTTTTACTAATTTGTAGACAATTCCAAATACTTCTTATTTCCCCAAACTGACCATAATTGAGTCTAATTGACTATTAACTAGTAATTAAAACCAATTATAAAAAATTTGTTAAGAAAATCTACATTATAACAAATTTAAAGATACTTTTCATATACATACTTGTATAATATGAATAGCGTAACATTCAAATTACTAATTAAAAAGATGAAGAATATGCATGAATGGAGTGGGCAAAGAATTGACTGACCTACAGGGCGGTCAAAGCGGGCCCGCAAGTAACCGAAGCCGTTGATGAGGTTATCGACCTCCAGAGACTGGGAAAACTCAATGGTGTCAGAACTTTGAGCGGTGAAGAGCACGGCCTGGAGATCCACTCTCTCCACGACGGCGTTGAAGTAGGCGTCGGTGGAGTGGTACGAGGAGAACACCGCCGGCGACGCCGCCGGGTCGATCTTGAGGAGGGCGGTGTTGTTGTCTCCGCAGCCGTTCTCGGCCGATACGAGCATCCTCTCCGTGATGGTGGACTGAAAGGCGAGGTATTCAGGGGTCCAGATCATGATGACGTGCCGGGTCAGTTCCGCCGGCGTCACCGCCTCAGTCGCCTCTCTCAGGTTGCCGGGGTTGGCCAAAGTCACTCGGAGCACCATCGCGGCGGCGTACTTCCGGCCAGGGGTTGGAGAATGAAGAATCTTGGAGCTTTTCTTGATTTTTTGCGGGGTTAATTAAGAGCTTCCGGCGGATTCAGAAAGGGGGCCGTTTTCCTATTTTATAATGTCCGGTGAAATATATTAGCTAGAGTTTTTTATTTTTATTTCTTTGTTCTGCTTCGAATAAGGCCAGGCACGCGGGAGATCATGTAACCGTTTTTAACTGAATAATATAAGCCGTAGTTAGTTGAGATTTCCCGCATTAGTTGGAGCGGGCTTACCTTTATTATGTACGCATAGTATGAAGATATGTATGCTCCTATGCTCTAAAATCTCTAATTATGGCGATATATGTTAAATCTATTGTAATTTTTGACTTTTTGTGTCATAAATTTTGAATAATGATGTTGATTAGTACAAAGTATAATACTAAGAATGTTACTCAGCTCTAGAAATGATTTACGATGTTTGACTGATAATAAAGTTAACTATTCATTCTCGATAATTAGTTTTTAATTTAAAAAATAAAATTTACATATTCAGAAACTACAGTTTTATAAAATTTAAAAAAAAAACTAAAATTATATAAGAATTGGATGCATAAAGTAAAAAGATTAAGAAGACTTTACCTTAACCGGTGAATAGTGGATGGAAACATTTGTTTGGAACGGGGGGTAGTATGAAATATACTACCTTCGTTCTTAAATAAATGCAACATATGGAATTTTTATAGACATACTACCTCCGTTCACATGTTCTACAATGACTACGTTTTATTTATTAATGTATGAATATATTTTTATTAAAAAAAATTTGTTAAATTTGTCTCATTGTAAATTTTTAATATCTAATTTTTTTAATTTTTATACTAATATAAATTTATATATATATTAATGGTCAAAGTTTTGTCTCGGCAAGTGTGAAATATTGACCGTCACTTTTATTTAAGAACGGAGGAAGTATAATTTTGTAAAAGTATTTTCAGCAAAGAACATTTTTACAAAAGGAGGATATATGACCCCTCATCCGACCCATAAGACTATATCATTAGTGCGGATCAGATAGTTAACTGGAAGAGTGTAAATTGACATTTAACTACAAGTTTGCTGATAGCAAGAACATTTTCATATCGTTATAGTGCTTAAGTAATTACCTATAAAATTATATCATTGGTCGACTCCGAGAATATAATAATAGGGAAAACTGTCAAATAGGTCCTCCAACTTTCAGAAAAAAGTCAATTAAGTCCTTCTATAGGAGACTCTGTCCGGCCATCGCGATTTGGGGCGGTTCTCGGTGGAATTTTTTGATGAAATTTTTTGAGCATCTTATTCATAAAGTCTAGTTTATTCATACCAAATTTCAGCTAAAAATTCAACTGGGAAAGCATTCAAATTAATTCGAGAATGCAAAAATGTGCAGTTATCTTCAAGAATTAATTTGAATGTGTTCCTGATTGAATTTTTAGTTGAAATTTGGTATGAGTAAACTAGACTTGATGAATAAGATGCTAAAAAATATTCATCAAAAAAATCCATCGGGAACCGCCCCAAATCGTGACGGCCGGACAGAACATCCTATAGAATGACTTAATTGGCTTTTTTATGAAAGTTCGAGGAACTATTTGACGGTTTTCCCTATAATAATATTAAGGGTTGAATGACAAACAAAATAATGATTGCTCTACAGGTTTGGTGTACACCCTGGGTTACACCCTGGGGTACACCCATTTATTTGCCCTTCTCACAGACAAAAAACACACAAATACAGACACTTTTATTGAAAGTGTCGGTGTGAGTAAATTAGTTTGTAGATCTGTCAGACTGGTTGCACGGAAACTAATGTCTGTGTAAACAAAAAATGTCAGTGTGAAAAATTAATTCGAAAACAAGTGTCAATGTACACAGACGTTAGTTGTCTGTGTAGACAACAAAGTGTCGGTGTGAAAAAATTAGTTGGAAAACAAGTGTCGGTGTACACAGACGTTAGTTGTCTGCGTAGACAAAAAAGTGTCGATGTGAAAAAATTAGTTGGAAAATAAGTGTCGGTGTACACAGACGTTAGTTGTCTGTGTAGACAAAAAAGTGTCGATGTGAAAAAATTAGTTGGAAAACAAGTGTCGGTGTACACAGACGTTAGTTGTCTTGTATAAAAAAAAAGTGCCTATATATATACAATTTTCGTCTGTGTGCACAGACACTATAGCAAACCAGTGACGGTGTGGATAAAACGTAAAAAGTGAGAAGGAAAGAAAAAGAAGAAGATTGTGATGAAGATAATGAAGATGATTAGGGTGAGTAAAACCTAAAAAAGAGAAGGAAAGAAGAAGAAGAATAAGAAGAAGATGAAGGGGAAAGGAAGAAAGAAAGAAGAAAGAACAAGATGTTGAAGAAGAAGAAAAGAAAAGAAGAAAGAGAGGAGAGAGGGGGATGGGTATGATTCAAATGAGAGAGGAGTGGAGAGAAGAGAGTGGAGAGAAAAAAGTTGAAAGGGGAGAAATAAGAAATAGGGGGATTATATAAGGTGTACACCATAACCCAAGGTGTACCAAAAGAATTTTTCCGGTTTCCGTTGGTGCGTAGCTATTCGACGCCGAAAAGCTCAATTTGAATCTACTATATTTACTTTCATTTCGTTTGATTAGTAGATAGTAAGTAGTTCAATTTCGTTTTACTAGAATTACAAAGAAACTTCAATTTGAATTGTCGTTACATGATTTTTGTAAGGATTTGACAATTTGACGGAAGGGTTAACGAACTATCGATTGGACTTGATAAATTTTTAATTTGTCTAAATGCATAAGCAAGTCATCCAAATCACGATATGAGGAAGAAGGACAAATTCGATAAAAAATGAAATACTTCATTAATTATATCGAATCATCATGTGGTTGAAGTTACAAATATGTTGCTCTACCATACGGAAATAATGTGGTTTTGAACAAATTAAAAATAATATACCGTCCCCAATTATAAGATACTTTTCGCTTTACGATGTTTGACCGACGATAAAGCAAACGAATCTCTATCTGCATTCAAATTATTTTTAGAAAAAAAAATCATATTCAGAAACTACATTAAAACCGCTACAAAACCTGCAAAAATAATTCAAATTTAATAAAATTTTGATATATAAAATAAGAGATTAAGAGTGATTTGTGTTGATCGAGTGAATAGTAAAGATATCTTATAAAATGAGACAGAGGGAGGGAGTACTACGTACTACGTAAGAATCATTTCGTTCTACAAATATTTAGTGGTAGTATACAAAAAGAGAAGGGAAAACTGTCAAATAAGTCCTCGTACTATTGTCAAAAAGTCAATTAGGTCCTCGTACTTTTTAGTGAATCAATTAAGTACACGAAGTTGTAAAAATTAATCAAATAGGCCTTCCAGCCGGTTGAGATCCGGTCAACCGGTAATTGCACACACGTGGCAATCCACATGATATTTTTATTTTCCTTTTCTCTTATCTTTTTCTTTCTTCCTTGCTGAGCATATCTTCTTCTCCATGTTCTTCGTTCTTCCCCTAACCCCTGCCTGCGCATGTCTTTCTTTATTTCCTGAAAATTATTTCCTTCCACAAAATTAAAGCATCAACCTCTGTAACCCAAACTCTCTCAACCGCCGGCGCCGTCCGGCTGGCGCTCAAAACTTCCCCAACCGCCGACGCGCGCCCAAAACTCTCCCAACTATAGTGTGACCCTTAGCTCATCGCCCACCTCCTCTTTAATCTGACACCGGTGGCCTACATCCACAGCATATCCAGCCGTTGTCTCACTTCTACCGTCACCCACAAGTCCACAACATCTCAACGTAACGCTGTCTCCCACCTCCGGTCACCCGCAACTATCCCTCATGTTGTCGCGTGCTTCCCATCTACCATATGTGCTTCCTCTCGGCAACACCTTCTCCAACGGTCGTTGCTCGCCGCCCATCCAAAACAAACCGGGAAGTAGTGAAGAAAGAAAAAGAAAATGCAAAACAGAGAATATAGATGGGGCAAGGCAGAAAACCAGGCAAGAAAGAAAATGAATGGGAAGAAGACAGAAAGAAAGAGAATTGAGAAAGAAATTAAAGAAAAGGAAATGGTGGACGGCTCGATGCAAACGCAGGAGGAAGAAACCATCTGGGGAAGAAGAAAGAAAGAAAAAGAAAAGGAGGATAAAAAAAGGAAAACTGAAAAATATTGTCACGTCAGCATTAACCGGAAATGTTTACGCTCAACCGGCTAAATAGCGAAATTGATCATTTTTTAATACTTAGTGGACTTGATTGATTCACTAAAAAGTACGAGGACTCAATTGACTTTTTGACAATAGTACAAGGACCTATTTGACAGTTTTCCCAAAAGAGAATAAAGATACTTGAATGTATGAACGATTATATAGGGAACCATGCATATTAAATACTCCCTACGTCCCAGGGAGAAGTTCACAATTTCCTTATTTGGATGTTTCAAAAGAAACTTCTCATTTCCCTAAATGGAAAGTTATCATACATTAAAACAGTGCCAAACAGTGTTGAAACAGTGCAAAACAGTAAAATTTACTCCTCAGTAACTTTATTTCCTAAAAATGTGTGAAAGTCAACCCGGGAACTTCTCCCTGGGACGGAGGGAGTATTGTTATGTATTTTACCTTACCATTCCTGTGTTACTATATTACATCGTATATGATGCATACCCCTCTTAGTGTCATGTTTATGATTCGTTCTGTGCATCGATGTTCGATGACATTAGTTACATATATACTCCGATCCGTATGATAGAGTATACCGAGTATGAGTTAAGGCTCATAGATATACAAACAATAATTGGATTATACTTCTCATCCGGACATCTCGGTCCGAAGGGAGGCTACTTAGCATAGAACACCCGGATACAACTTAAACTTTAAGGATCATCGGATATGCTAAATCAAGTCGACCCATATGTAGCACGAAAATTCTCATGAAAGAGTACATTTTCATTTTGGTAACTCTTTGGAAACTCCCCAAACAAGCCTTTTTTGGGTAAAAGTTTATGTTTACCGTTTCCCGTTGCCTCAGACTTTCGCGTTTCCGTGCAACATAGCTCGGCTCGTATAGGCTCCTCAGGCCTCTCACATTTCATCCTCAACTGGGTTTGAACCATGCATCCAAGGAAGCAAACTAATTTAATTAACAGCGAATCAACAATAATAGGGACG